CCAGGAGCATGTAAATGTCTCTAAGTAATGCTAAAAACTCACGGTCTGGACAGAACTTTCCCTTTTTAAAGATGCAGTACTGTCCTGGCTCCCAATCTGGGTTGCTCCCATTGCCCATCTCTAAGTCTGTCTTCACACAAAAGTGCTGCTCCACATGTGTCAAAGACTTCGAGCCATATAAGTGTAACGGGTTAGACCACCTGTTGCTGGGGAAGAAGTCTGCGGTGTCTTGGTACCTCCAGCCGGTCTTCCAGTAGTAGTAAGTATTGGGGCAGCCACCGATAGGCATGGGCAGGGCGTAGGTTCCCCTTGGCCAGACGCTAGGTTGCTTGGCGGCCCATACAGCTGAACTGAAGAAGGCAACGAGAAGGAGTGGTCTCATAATGTTGCCCATCGTGCTAAGAGGGGAAAAAACAGTACACAGAACGCACTGTTTTTGTCACATGTCTCACCGTTGGCCTATGCATCCTTTTCGAACACATTTTCTATTAGACGTTATTTCATGACTACATAATTCTTTGCTGAAGGGACTACGACGGACTCGATACTCAAAGAGCAGAAAAAAACCTACAGACAGTTGAAAGTACGTTGCAAAAGAGGGCTGTGTAACCGAGCCCCAAGTTAAGACGTAGGCCTACATAACTCTCGGATAAATTATGAGGAAAAAGGAATAAACCTGCTGTTGTAAGTAATGTAGACAATCATTTCAGAATGATAAGTTGACAGGCACTGTACCTGAATTTCATTTCTTCGAATTTTTAAGTGCGTATTAAGTACTAAACAATTATTCAAGAGTCAGTTACATGTAGTAATGCGTTGCCTATCACTAAAAATACTGACATCTTCATGTACATAATGGGATATGGAACTTACCTTGTTTAAAGCCCTGTTGCTCGCAAAGAACAGTACAGTTAAATGAAGTCTGCGTATACGAGCCTGTGTCTTTAAGTGAGCATCACCTATGCGGCGTGTTTTGAGGAATCCCATTTGCATTGCCTCAGAGGTAAATATTCATTTGAAAGGGCTGGTTATCTTTATCAGTTTGATTGACACGACATAATCGACAAAATATAGGGTAATTGGCAAAGAAATCAGTTTGCCGTTTTCTATTGACAGATTCTACCCAAAGACTTCAATAATTATTATCAATGTTCACGTTGTTTAAGTCCAAGGACGGAAAGGTGAACATCGTATATAGTAGTTCTTGCGTTTGTTGCATTTTGTCTTCCAGGCTGCTTTGCTGCCGAAGATTTAAAGAGCACGGTGTTAAACATTTATTGTTAAAGTTGGATTGTCCCATTTTCGCTATTCAGACATTGTAGTATTTGAAATAATATTTTATAACACAATGCTTTAATCAACTATTTTCACCCTCCTGGTCGTGCATTTTTGGTGTATTAATAATGATTTTAAAATCTGATTCTGGTTTTAAAGCGTCCGTCTATAACAAAACTCCGACAAACTCCGGCTTCTTCGAATACGACGAAACATATTACTTTTACTATTAGAAGACCACATCGAACGTCAAAATGTGTGCAGCGTGTCGGCTGTTTTGACGAACGCGGTTCCCAGCTAATGCTGCAAAAATATATGATTTCACCAACTCCTCTCACAGTGCCAGTCAGTAGCACATTAAATAAACATCGCCTCCCCAACCTTGTTTATGGTCTGGACCTAACACTTCATTTTGTTGGTCTTTTATTTTTTCTAATATGTGATATCCACCCTACAAATCTGTTCAAAGATCCTGAGACCCATAAGAAAACAACTTTTCTCTGAATCTTGAAGTACGATTTCTGTTTCATTGAATATAATTTAATTCAGTTTAATGTTGGATTTTCCTCTGCCTGTTCCCCTTGTGGATTATTTGGTGAACTGGTACTTAAATGCAAATTCAATTTTGTGAAAGCAAGGCTACGGCGGCCATATGGATAATAATTTGGAGTTGTGAAGTAAATTCTGCCTGTCAATTATGTGATGTTGTCTAACCATTATTTGATGCTGTCAACCCGTTATGTGATGTCAATCAACTGTGTGAAGTTCTCATTCAATTCTGTGACGTTCTCGATCAATTTTATGAAGTCCTCGATCCATTTTATAATGTGTCAAACTGTATTATCAATCTATTAAAGATGTTATCAAACCACTGTGTCATGTTGTCAATCCACGATGTGTTGTCAGTCTGTTAGATGAAGTTCGCAATCGTTATGTCACGTTTTCAAACCATCATGCGATGTTCTTAATCCGTTACGTTGTGTAGTCGGGGCTTTACTTCGCGTATGCATTACGTGGTGAGCTATCCCCTTACACAGCCAGTGTCGAATTATGTGATGTAGTGAATGTATTATGTGGTATTGTCAGCGAATGACGTGTGTCGTCAAAGCATTATGCTGTCCCTCCTCTTGTGCAGCTATCCCTGCACGGGCAGTGGTAGCTCTCAGTGGGTATGGCCGTGATTGCTTCAATTTTTGCGCAAGTCTGACTTAGTAGTTTACCGTCTCCGGTACTCGCACAGAGAATGCATATTTGGGCATAAAATGTCTCATATTTATCTAAATCTTGTAATCTAGGTGTCATCTGAAAGAGCACTGCGTAACGTGGCCATGCAGCATACTAGGAGGATGGAGCCCATTTTAAAGAATTTGGAGTTGGCACACCTGTTGTCAGAATGTCAGGGAAAACGTAAGTACACGTTTTGCCCTTTGATAAGTTGAACATTAATACATAGTTACTTTATGTACATGCTAAGCTTTTTGGGGAACCTGTGGTATCTGATAAATCTGTGCATGTCCTGTATAGGCCTATGTCGCCGCGCCATGGAAATCGTTTCATTATTCATCTATTATTTGGGGGGCTGCAGACAGATTTTAAATAGTAATCTTTCATTGCAATTTAACGGAAGCGTATAAGGACCACTTGCAGAAAACATTTTTCGAGATACTATCTTGCCGCAGCGAGTTATTAATCTCTCCGCGGCGACTTACTATTTCGCCGCGGCGAGTTAGCTAAAACTAGTTCAACTCGCTGCATATTAAGACCCAGTCTGGATACCAGACCCAATGATTCCGACTACTCTTCTCGTCAAGGGTCCTGTATCACGTGATCAACACTCCTCGAGATTTCCGAGAATAGTCGAACTATTCCGAACTTATCCTGTCCATGTTAAATTCAGTTTAACGTCAACACTTTTTCTTTGATGCTCCTCAAAATTGTAAAAATTAATGCAAAGATTAAAATGAATAAAATTGTTAGCCAAATGAGTAAAGGGAGAAGATAAAGACCATTCAGGGAGTATCGGTAATGTTCGGGATTTTCCAGCCGCGTCTGAACGAAGAATTTTGTGAACTGTCCGGGTTATATCGGTCGGATTACTCCCCACTTACGAAGCAGAACTAGGATGGAAAAGACTGGAACATGTTTTTGATAAATAGAAATCATTTTTTAAATTGAACGTGTTTTAAAGCAAATGCCATTTTCAAACTTCGTATTTTAGAAATTTAGAGTAGATTTTTCAAAAGCAGAACAACATTTTAAGGATCTAATACATTTTTTTTCTGGATTGGAATGAAGTTTTAAAACCCAAAGTTTTTTCAGATCAAAACAAAATATTTTGTACAGAATAGACTGAACGTATTTTGGAAATGGGAATACTTTTTCAGCGTAGGCAGCTATTCGGTGTACGTATTTTACAACAAAATAATCTCATGCAATCCTAAATGGGAGAGCATCCAAATTGACATAAATCCAAATTAATTAGCAACCACGAATAAAAAAAAGCAACTTGTGAAAACTTTGTTAAAACAATCTTGGAAAAATATGCTTCACTTTTCAAAAATTATTTGAAGCACTATGAGGCTTTCGCAGAATACCGAATTAAAAGATCGAATATTTTTTACATGCAGCTTTGGATTCGTTCTCAATTCGGATGCGTTCTCAATTCAGATGCTTTCTCAGATCAGATGATTTCTCAATTCAGATAGTTTCTTAATTCGGATAAAGAGAGATTTTCGTAAATACATGAGCTATTACGCTGTAAAAAAAGTTTAAATTTCGACAAAAATGTTCAAATTGTAAAGTTTTTCTTCTATTTTTAAAAAAATTCGAACTTAAAAAATTCATTCAATCCTAGAGATTACGTTACGTTTAAAAATTCATTCACTCCTCATTGAAAATTCATTTGATTTGGAATCTAAAAAAGAAATTAGATCCTTAATATTTTGTTCGGGTTTTGAAAAATTTCTACTAAACTTCTAAAATACGAGCTTTTTAAAAATGACATTCACTTAAAACACATTAAATTTGAAACTAAAATGCAATCAATTTAACAAAAACATGTCCCAATTTTTTGACGCTAATTCTACTTAGTAGTGGATGGTGTACTCCGACCGGTATACTACGGACAGGTCACAAAATTCTTGGGAAATGCCCGAATATTAATGTCACGGTGACGTGGGGGGCGTTGCCACCTTGACGTAGTGGGTCCGCTCAACTTTTAAATTGAGGATAGGAAACTGCTACGTGATCACAAGTTAATCAAAGAATACTACGTGTACTCAGTACAGCATGATGTCCGGTGATTGCATTTCAAATTAGATTTAATTATTCCATCCTACAATTATGAGATGACAGGGCCTATGACAATTTACAATAAAGAGATAAGTGTATTTGTTATGAGATTTTTTTCAAGAGTTGAGACTAAGTTGGATTCCTCAGGGATTTTACATTTAGTTTTAATAAGTTCTCAAGGGCATTGTGCAGACCCGCCTTTCTGCTCAGAGTAAATCTAATATACAAAACACATACATGTACAGCAGTCTTCAGGAGAGAGACAGAATCGTACGTATGCGACGGCGAAGTACGTTGCGCAAGAATAATGCGTCAAAAGTTGTATAAAAATATAACCATTGAACTAATCCAGTTTTATACATATATAAATTATCCAATATGACTCATCATAAACAATGGACCGTTCCACATCTCATCGAGCTCCTTAAATACTGGTTACAATCTTGACTGGCTGGGAACTACATGTGACTATTCGGATGGCTACTTGACCCAGAACATAACCTGAGATTAGACTTGATTCAAGTCGGTCTATCACATTAATGATACCATCCGAATGGTCTTCTTCCTCTCCCCTTTCATTAGGCTACCATTTTTAGTCTTTGTAACATTGTTTGACAGTTATGAAGAGAATTAAAGAAAAAGTTTTGACGTTAAACTGAATTTAATATGGACAGGATAATTTCAGACTATTTTCGACTATTCCCGGAAATCGGGGGGGGGTTGGTCACGTGGACGTTGGGTGATACAAGACCCTTGATAAGAAGAGTAGTCGGAATCATTCAGTCTGGTATCTAAACTGAGTCTTAATATGGAGCGAGTTGAACTGGTTTTAGCTAACTCGCCCTGGCGAGATAGTAGATAGCCACAGCGAGATAGTAAGTCGCCGCGGCGAAATAGTAAGTCAGTAAGTCGCCGCGGCGAGATAGTAGGCCTAACTTGCCGTGGCGAGATAGTATTTTGGAAAAACATTTCGCAAGTGGCCCCCATACGCTTCCGTAGTTGTGTGTAACTGCATGTAGGAAGTCTGTAACGATCTCCTGCACGGCTTGTCAACACATAACTCGCCCGCAAACCAACAAGGTTTCCCAGAGATCAGAGATCTGAGTTTCAAAACTCAGTATCTTGCGTTCGGCCACGCAATGGCTTGTTTGTGTACATCAGCGATTTTTGTTTGTAATTCACTTTATGATTTGATGTGATAATAATTAAGTGGTCCCATCTGTTTTTTCTTTTCTGTGTCGGGGTAAACAGTGCATATTTTCTGTTATTTTTTCCGCACTTATCAGTCACCATTTTTACCATTTTTAGTTCCTCTTTATTTCTTTACTGCTGAAGAATTTTTATTGTGTTTATTGTTGTATTAGTTATGATCGGAGTGTGTGGGTTTCAGTTTTGTTTTTGAGTGTGTGTATTTCCATACCTACCGGAAACTTCTTAATTTGTTTCGTCCAGGAATTCTAACAAGATTTGAATGTTCTCTACTTCCAGATCTGTTCTTTTGGGTTGGATGGTGGAGATCGATAAATCTCCGACCGTACCAGGCCATCTTTTACATTCCTGTGCCATTTTTACTAAATGATAGGTTTGGTTAGGAAAATTGCACCAAGATATTCATTTCCGCTGATTTCTTTGTTTTCTTTGATTTCCCTCAGGGTCTGTTTCCACGATAAATGCCTTACTTGCATGTAGTATAGCAGGACAAATACAAGCGGGATCACTTTCTTAGTTTTAGTATGCTTGCTAGGGGTCACAGGCATGCGTCTCGCCTTCTTAAGGAAGGAGGGCTAAATCTTATTGGTTGTATCCGCGTTTTCTAAATATGTTCCTGCAGAATTCAACCTTCACAAAATCTATTTATCGTATGCACAATCGAATATATATCGCTACCTCTCCCCTAATTAATCCGCCAAATACCGACTTAGGGTAAGCTGAATCTCGAGCAAGCTACTGACATGTTTAAGGGGTTTTTGGGTGGCCACTCGAGTATCCAGTTTCCCTTCTAGAGATTGAGGAAGGTGAGTAGGCTGGAACCATCCAAACAATTATTTTATTGAAAGTTTATTTATAAGTGTAAATAAATGTTCATTGCATTACTACTGGGGAGTTTGAAGGCAGAGTTTTATAAATCAAGTCGTAACATCTCCACAATGGCTGCTCTTCAGTAAGCGATGTGCTTACTAACACTTACTAACTTACATGCAAGAATGTAAATAGTATCACGAAACTTAAAAGTGTCATTGTTCTGTTCACATTTAGAATGCATGCTAACTTATGAACTTGACTAAGAAAAAAATTCCTGCGTGGCTTTGAGTGTACCTCTCACCTTATGACCAAAACGTCTGATCTCCCTTTAAAGACCCAACCTGATTGATGATGTTATTTCAATTGGTGAAGCTTAGGTCGTTGATTGCTTGACAACGTGGATGCCGCTTCTTCATCATTCGTCTTCTCCTTCCTCATCTTTTTACAACACAAATCTTATCGCCAAATTTTAACCACTTAACAAATTGCAGAGTAGCCACTTCTAAAACCTGCTTTCAAACGTCCTAGTAATATCTGACGCATTGATCCAGCTGACTGTGTATGACAGTTATTAAATCTTATAATTAGCGCGTCAAAATGATACATTTTAGATTTTCAACCATTTTTGAATAAAGGAAAACAGGAACGTATATGAACTTTTAATGTTACTTAACAAAGTACTGTAATATCGATGGGCACATTATAAATTCAACAGTCGATCTCAGGAAAATACACTTTTTTAAAAGGATGTAGTCGGAGAACAACATTGAAACGATATTTCAAAAAGGACCTCTAAAAAAATTCAGCATGATGTGGGTAAGCATAATTAAATATTACAAGCTCCTTAACAGCGTGGACAAAAGGGACAGCGCCGTTACCATGCAAGTATTTGTGAGTAATTAAGTAGTAAGATTGACATTTGAAGCAAGATAAGGGACGTAGAGAACCCCCCCGCCTTTGTGTTGGTCATTGTTTGATCGGAATCTCAGGAATTCTTCACAGACTTCTAGGGGGGGGGTGTGTTTGGTAACAATAGTCTAGAGTGTGTATAGGGATTGGACAGGTAAGGGGGTACCCCTTCGTCCCATATTTTGCCTGGTATAAAGATTGAACTAATCACGCGGCGCAAAATTTTGTGTGTGTGTGTGTGTGTGAAAGAAATACCCCAACTAGAAACTACCAGTCTCAAATTTGGGACCTATAGAAATATTCCTGTGATCCCTCCTGAATTTGGCATGTGTTTTTGTAAAAACCCCGTGGAATCACAAAATATTAATGAGCTCACGCGCAGAAATCCAACGATTTGGTGGAATGCACAATGGAATGCACAGACTAGACTGCTCAAGGTTCGTAGACATACGTACGGCACCCAACATGGAGACGAGTCTGCAGGCCCCCAAGGCAACGACCGTAGTGACCTTTCAATGATAACATTTTATTGTATCATTACTACATTCAACTAAGCAACCACAGGTCACTCATAATGCTGTGTTAAGATTCATTAGCTGATAGTTTGCTACGTGATTCCTCGGCAGTGTGGTGGTCACAAAGTCATCTGGAAGTAAAAAAACTATTCTTCAGGTCTTTTTCACAAATGTGGGACTGATTAGTTATTTATGGTTTGAAACAAAATGTCTTAAGTCTGGCACTACAGGAAGTGGACTAGGGACTGCGGTGACAGATTGCAATACCTTATTTGGACACTAAATTAATGGGGTTATGCGCCAGCGGCATATCCAACTTTTGGTGGGGGGGTTCAAAAGTGAATGCGGCTTTGGTCTCAATCAACATGATGTTAGGAAGAAAAAATCAAAAGCCTTACTCACAGTCCCGACATCCTTGCCTTTATTTGCTGGTGTTGTTTTCTTAGGGTTTTGGTACTGATTTTAGATAAATATTCCGAAATTCCGATTAAATCCGATTTCTATCTTTCTACTCACCTATGAAGTATTCTTTGGGAAAAAAAAACTCTGTCAGGGAGGACAAGTTGCCCTCCCAGCTGGATACGCCACTGGATAGGGCTGAGGAGTAGTAAATCATCTGAGATTGTGGGTATAAATCAATCGCAAATTTAAAGACTGAAGTAGGTTAATTTGCCTTAAAACCACTTGCCACCGGGGATTCCGGTTCTGGGCACGGATTCATTACAACGCAGCCGGGGTCTCCGAAATCGGACAAAGTAAACTGGGCCTTTTAACAAAAGAATTAACGACATTTTTTCACTCTCAATAGAGGAGATAATCCAGCCTTGTTTTGAAACAGTACGGTTTGAGACATTCAGCACGAGCGCTCCACTAACGTAGCGATGAGCCACACAGTACCGCTGCACGCTAATCTCGCCCCTTTTGAAAGAGGTAGCAGCGCACTGTGCCAGTTTCGTGAACAAAAAAAAATTACGTAACACCGCGCAGGCCTGGCTGAAATACTCCGGCGTCAATAGATGTTGTCTGTCAGATTAGAGTGGACAAGACAGTTCTTCTTGTGGGTGTAAGTGTCCAGTAAATGAAGATGTGAATTTTTGAAGAATTTTGAAAACAGAAAAAATTAAAATTATACCGTCCCACCATCATTAACATTCATAAATGCCCCCGGCGCGATGTGGTTTTAAATTAATCATGCGTTAACTCACAGAGAAAAGGATTAGAGTCGATAAATTTAATATTGATTTCATTCAAAATAATCTTGCGAGAATTAAGATGCCGAGATTTCTCAAATTTAATGGTAGGTTTCTCTTTGTTCTAAGAGTAATAGCAGTACATCAGCTTGTGGTTGTCACCGCTTTTGTTTTCCAGATCTGGCACACTACCATCGCGATATTTGTTCAAGTCAATCAAGTCGTCCTGACCATCCCAGCGGAACCACTCTACCAGCACGGTCATGCGGTCCACAGCCTGGCAATTGCCGTTCTTCCGAAACAGGAAGAATGGTTTGTCTACCGGCAAGGTCAGTGGAGTGCCCGCATCACCGTCTTCCCTGCAGCAGAAGTAGATCTTAGTGTCATCGTCATAGACACCTTCCGGCAACTCACCACTCTGGTCGTTACGGTTAAATATGTTCTGGTCGTCCCACTTGATCCATCCTTCCCTGAAACCTGAAAAATGAACAGTCAAGACCTTGACTTCAACTTCATCGGGGCAGAGGAAAACACTGCGCTGGCCAGTAGTACTGAGTCATCAATAATCCTTGATCTCACTCGTTAATTAATACTTCAACATACTTGGACAAACTGTAACAAATGTATTGGGATAAATTGATTATTAGGAATGCTAGCTCTGGGAGGGCACTGGACGTTACGTAGGTAAATGCCTCCGCGCCAAGAAGGTGACGTGTTCTTTCATTCTCTTGGTAAATGAAGTCACGGCCTGAATGTAGTAAAATGAACTATGTGGTTCATGTCATTTGGGAGCTCTAGTCTAGGTGTAGTCATAACTGTGCACACGTGCTTTCAAAAATGTCTCCCTGAAATATTTATGATGAAAGGTGTGATGTCTGCATAGTGTGTGAATATCTATATTTACAAATAGGTCATTTGGGAGACGTTTTGTGGTACATGTTTCAGCATTAGGGAGACATTTCAGTGACTCCCTATTTTCAAACTACCAGAAGGAAGCCGAATTTTACCGTCCAAATTTTGAGAGATGAAAGATTAGGGTCTAAATTGAAAACATACAAAGTTTGGTTCAGATCAGATTAGGGAATATTGAATTATGGGACAGTAAAGTTGGAAAGTTCTTTTGGGAATGTCTCCCTAATGACCCATTAGCGGTAAACACAAGTACAGCTATAATTATGCTAGGATAGAAAAAATAATAACTCTTTTTATCATTCTTAGTATACATATTGTAGGGATGACAAGTTTAGGGGCAGAGTTTGTAGGCCTACCCCGAGAAAAAGAAGGAAAAATAAGCGGGAGAGAAAAGGGGAAAGGACAATTACCAGTTTTTGAGAAGACACCTCAGAATTGCCACAACCACTACTGACCGTTTCTTACTCACTGTCACGTGAAAATAGCAAACTGATAAGCAGCCAAAACTGAATGTGGCAATTTCAGTCTTTCAAGGCAGTGCAAGTAGTGGAATGTCAAAAATACAGCACATCTCTTGTATACATAACGTATATATTCGCCTCGTTACAATAACTTTGGTTTCCAATGCGCATGACGTACAGTGTATTTTTTTTCATTACAGTTATTTCTCCTGCTTTCTTGGACCATCACAACGTTGGATTAAGGTCAGTGTGCGATATTTCCACACAGTGGCGTCGGGGGGGGGGCTTCGTGGCTTATGTACCCCCTTCGTGTGCTCCCCCTTGGAAGTTAACGGAGGAAAAATGCTATGCGACTGAACAAATCGAGTGCCCCTTCCACTGCTTCTACGAAACCTTTCTGAACCTTCTCTAAGTTAGGCCTTAGATGAATCAATTAAAACAACACTACGCAAACTATGCTAAAACAGAATTTCTGCAGATACGTTGGGGAGCGTTTTTTAACGTTAAAGGTACTTGAAATAGCTTAAACATCAGGAACATGTAAATGTCTCTAAGTAATGCTAAAAACTCACGGTCTGGACAGAACTTTCCCTTTTTAAAGATGCAGTACTGTCCTGGCTCCCAATCTGGGTTGCTCCCACCACCCATATTGTAGTCTGTCTTGACACAAAAGTTCTGCTCTACGTGTGTCCAAGACTTCGAGCCATATAAGTGCAACGGGTTAGACCACTTGTTGTTGGGGAAGACGTCTGTGGTGTCCTGGTACCTCCGGCCGGTCTTCCAGTAGTAGTAAGTATTGGGGCAGCCACCGATAGGCATGGGCAGGGCGTAGGTTCCCCTAGGCCAGATGCTAGGTAGCTTAGAGGCCCATACCGCTGAACTGAAGAAGGCAACGAGAAGGAGTGGTCTCATAATGTTGTCCATCGTGCTAAGAGGGGAAGAGGAATGCATTGTTTTTCACGTCTCACGCATGCATCCTTTTTTAACACGTTTTCTATCTGCAAATACATGTATTCGAACAACGTTATTTCGTGACTATTAATTCTTTGCTGATGGAAACACGAAGCACTCAATACTCAAAGAGTGGTAAAAACCCAACAGACAGTTGAAAATACGTTGCAAAAAAGACGTACATAACTCTCGGATAAATTATGAGGAAAAAGGAATAAACCTGCTGTCGTAGGGAATGTAGACAATCATTTCAGAATGACAAGTTGACCGGCATTGTTCCTGAATTTCATTTCTTCGAATCTTTAAGTGCGTATTAAGTACTAAACAATTATTCAAGAGTCAGTTACATGTAGTAATGCGTTGCCTATCACTAAAAATACTGACATCTTCATGTACATAATTGGATATGGAACTTACCTTGTTTAAAGCCCTGTTGCTCGCAAAGAACAGTACAGTTAAATGAAGTCTGCGTATACGAGCCTGTGTCTTTAAGTGAGCATCACCTATGCGGCGTGTTTTGAGGAATCCCATTTGCATTGCCTCAGAGGTAAATATTCATTTGAAAGGGCTGGTTATCTTTATCAGTTTGATTGACACGACATAATCGACAAAATATAGGGTAATTGACAAAGAAATCATTTTGCCGTTTTCTATTGACAGATTCTAACCAAAGGCTTCAAGTAATTATCATTATTCACGTTGTTTGAGTCCAAGGACGGAAAGGTGAACATCGTGATGTATAGTAGTTCTTGCGTTTGTTGCACTTTGTCTTCGAGGCTGCTTTGCTTCCTTAGATTTAATGAGCACGGTGTTAAACACTAATGTATTAAAGTTGGATTGTCCCATTCTCGCTACGCAAACTATTTCGGTCTCTCTGAAAAAATATTTTGTGACACATTACTCACTGTTCAATCAACTATTTTCACCCTCCTGGTCGTGCATTTATGGTGTATTAATAATGATTTTAAAATCCGATTCTGCTTTTAAAGCGTCCGTCTATAACACTACCCCGACAACTCCAGCTTCTTCGAATACGACAAAACACCGAACATTTTGCAGCTCCCATCATGAAAAGACCAACATCAAAATGTGTACAGCGTGTCGGCTGTTTTGACTAACGCTGTAAAAAATATACAATTTCACCAACTCCTCACTCGGTGCCAGTCAGTAGCACAGTAAGTAAAGACCGCCTCCCCAACCTTGTTTATGGTCTGGACCTAGTACTTCCTTTTGTTCGTCTTTTATTTTTTTCTTATATGGGACATCTACCTTATAAATGTGTTTAAAGATCTAAGACCCATGAGAAATAAAATTTCTTTGAATCTTGAAGTACGATTTCAGTTTCATTGAATATAATTTAATTCAGTTTAATGTTGGATTTTCCTATGTCCGTTTCCCTTGCGGATTATTTTGTGTACTGGTACTTAAATGCAAATTTAATTTTGTGAAAGCAAGGCTACGGCGACCATATGGATAACTATTAAGTCAACTCTGCCTGTAGGAACGCCAAATGTACCAATCTGTCATTTGAAGTTCTCAATCCATTTTGTGATGTTGTTAAACCCTTATGTGATGTTGTCAGTCCATTATGGGATGCGTTCAAATCATTATTTGATGTCCAACCATTACGTGATGTTGTCAATCTACTGTGTGAAGTTCTCAATAAGCTCTGTGACGTTGTCAAACTGTATTAAACGTTATATTGTCATTCTATTATGTGATGTCAAACCATTATGGGATGTTGTCCAACCATTGTGGGATGTTGTCAATCCACGATGTGTTGTTGTCAGTCTGTTAGGTAAAATTCTCATTCCATTATGCCACGTGTTCAAACCATTATGCAATGTTCTTAATCCTTTAATTGTGTAGTCCAGGCATCATACTTTGCGTAGTTAATGCCTATGGTGTACTATTTAGGACACACATTTCTCTCTCTATTTACTGAGCCTCCTTCCAGGCGACGCAACTACACGATGCGACGGCACTGCAGCTCTCTTGCGTGGTGCTGTTGAGTCGCACCGTCGCCTTCTTACCATTACGTTTGTACACACACGACGTGTCGCGTCGTGTCGTGCCGTCGCCCGTCACGTCGTGCTGTCTTAGGTCCTTTCCTTGCTGCAAATTTTTTCTGCCTAAACGTCGCGTCTTTCGTCGCCCGTCGCATGGCACTGTCGTGCGTCGTGTCGTGCATCGCGTCGTCTATTATGTTGCCTGAAGTACGACGCGACGCACGGCACGGCGCACGACGCAACGTGTCGTGTGCTGTCGCTCTTTGCTTCATGGTGTTTACAGAGGGCGCCTTTACTGTTTTCTTTCATTTCCTTCCCCCAGCCCTTGCTTGCACAGTACACTCTGAGAATTCAGCCAAATTTTTTTGGGGGAAAAGCATTTTCAGCAAAAATGTTCCGGCCAACTTATCCACAGTATTATTCTAATTTGCATAGTGTAAAAATGTGCCGACTTGTTTTCATCAAATTCCAGGAAGAAATCTGCCAACCGATACAGATATTCCATCTTGTCCTCTCAATTTCACCTTGAAATCCAGAAATAGTAGATGTGCTGTGGATAACAAACTGTTTATTAAATGCATTGTTGGGGGCAATTACCACTTCAGAAAATATGAC